AAGAAAAAGAGTTCAGCCTCATATGCTGTTATGTCAACACAGGACAACTTTAGCAAAGCAGGGACTTCACAGAAGAAATGATCCACTTCTATGTGGCCACACAGTGGTATCTGAAGTGCCAAGGAGGACTGCAATACTGAGTTGCTAAAGCCACTAATCCAAGATGCAGCTGCCAACTGGAGGCAGAGCCTTTGGTTCATGAGGACTGAGTAATGGAGAGGCTGACAAATAGCCACAAACCTATCAAAGGACATGACGGCCAGGAGAAGACATTCAGTACAACCCAAAGCCAAAGAAATGAGAAGTTGGGCCACACAGCCACCATAACTAATTACCTTCCTGGTGCTGCATATGTTCACCAGCATTTGTGGAACTATACTCGTCGTGTAGCAAAGGTCCACGAGAGACAGATTGGTAAGAAAGAAGTACATGGGAGTATGGAGTTTGGGGTCCAGATGTGCCACAAGAATGATCGCCAAGTTGCCAAACATAGTCAAGATATAGGAAATCAGGAACACCACAAAGAGCGGAAGCTCCAGCCATGGTCGATCTGAGAAACCTAACAGGATGAACTCCCATGGGATGCTCTCATTTACCTTATTCATGGTAAATGATTCTACTCTTGGTTCCCTGAAATATAAAAAGCCAACAATTATATTAAAGCATAGTTAAGTCTATGTCAGTTAGTTATAATCATTTTGCTAGCCATTTCCATAAATTTATTCACTAATACTAGTAATAAGATGAAAAACATATTGAAAATAATATAAATATTTCTTTCCAAGTATTTCAAGTATGTTTCTATATGTGTACAAGTATGTCCCAAACAGAATTTCAAAACTTTAAAATATGATTTATGATCAGTTTCAACATTCATAGATTTTCTGGTTTTGTGAAAAACATTGTCCTCACTTCCTTCCAGCCAAATACCTATTATCAGGAAAATGTCAACACAGTTCCTATCATTTGGTATTACTCCTCAATATCAATGAGACTACCTTATTTTGTGAATCAATTAAGTTATGTACACTCCACACCGTCCTTAAAAAAAAAAAATCTAGCAAATTATCAGGCACATTTAAAGGAGACATATTCTTTTTCTGTGAGCACCTCATACAAGGTGTATATTGTTTTTAGGTGCCATCGAGTCAGCTCTGACTCATAGTGACCCCATGTACAACAGAACGAAATACTGTTCCCCATCATGCACCATCCTCACAATGCTTGCTATATTTGAGCCCATCGTTGCAGCCACTGTGTGAAACTCATATTGTTGAGGATCTTCCCCTTTTTGACTGACCATCCTCTTTACCAAGCATGATATCCTTCTCCAGGGAATGGTCCCTTCTGACAACATGACCAAAGTAGATGAGATGAAATCTGGCCATTCTTGCTTCCCAGGAGCATTCCGGCTGCACTTCTTCCAAGACAATTTGTTCTTTCTTTTGGCAGTCAATGGTACTTTCAGTGTTTTTCCCAGCACCACACCTCAAAAGCAGCAACGCTTCTGCAGTCTTTCTTATTCTTTGTCCAGCTTTCATATGCAAGTGAGGTTATTGAAAACACCATGGCTTGGGTTAGATGCACCTTAGTCTTCAAAGAGACATCTTTGCTCTTCAGTCTTTTAAAGATGTCTTTTGCAGATTTTCACAGTGCAAGGTGATGTCTGATTTCTTGACTGCTGATTCCATTGGTGTTGATTGTGGATCCAAGTAATATGGAATATTTGCTAACTTTAAAATTTTCTCCATTTATCGTGATGCTGCTTATTGGTCCAGTTGGAAGGATTTTTAATTTCTTTATGTTGAGGTATTATCCATGCTGCAGACTGTACTTCTTAATCTTCATCAGTAAGTGCTTCGATCATCTTCACTTTCATCAAGCAATTTAGTGTCATCTACATATTACAGGTTGTTAATGAGTCTTCTCCAATCCTGATGTCATGTTCTTCATATAGTCCAGCTTCTGGGGTTATATCTGTATACTGAGCATACAGATTGAATAAGTGTGGTGGAAGGATACAACCCTGACACACGGTTTAACTTCCTGTTGTTAAACCGTGCAGTTTCCCCTTGTTCCATTCAAACAACAGACTCCTGGTCAGTGTGAGGTTCCTCTTGAGCAAAATTATGTGCTTTGGAATTTCTATTCTTTTCAATGTTATCCACAGTTTATGATACACACAGTCGAATGCTTTTTCATAGTCAATAAAACACAAGTAAACATCCTTCTGGTATTTTTTTTGCATTCAACCAAGACCCATCTGACATCAGAAATCATATCCCTTGTTCCATGTCCTCTTCTGCATCCAGCTTGCATTTCTGGAAGTTCCTTGTCAATATACTGCTGCAACCTATTTTGAATTATCTTCAACAAAATTTTACTTGACTGTGATATTAATGATATTATTTGATAATTTCTACATTCAGTTGGATCACCTTTCCTTGAAATGTGTAAAAAGTGGATCTCTTCTGGTCAATTGACCACATAGCTGTCTTCCAAATTTCCTGGCATAGATGACTAAGTGCCTCCAGCATGGCATCATTTGTTGAAACATCTCAGTGAGTATTCTGTCAATTCCTGGACTCTTCTATTTCACCAATTCTTTCAGTGCAGCATTGACTTCTTCCTTCAATACCATTGGTTCTGTATCATATTCCACCTCCTGAAATAGGTGAACATTGATCAAATCTTTTTTGTACAGTGACTCTGTGTATTCCTTCCATCATCTTTTGATGTTCTCTGCATCTTTCAATAATTTGCCTATGGAGTATTTCAATATTGCACCTCAAGGCTTGAATTTTTTCTTCAAAAAGTCTTTCAGCTTGAGAAATGCCAAACTTATTCTTTCCTTTTGGTTTTCTAACTCTACGTCTTTGCACATTTCATTATAATTGACTTTGTCTTCCTGAGTTGATCTTTGAAATCTTCTGTTCAACTGTTTTATCTTATGTCTTTCATTTACTTTAGCTACTCTCCACTCAAAAGCAAATTTCAGAGTCTCTCTGACATCCATTTTGGTCTTTTCTTCCTTTCCTGTCTTTTTAATGACCTTTTGCTTTCTTCATGTATGATGTTCTTGATGTCATCCCACAATCGATCTGGTTTTCTGTCATTGGTGTTCAAGGCATCAATTCTATTCTTCAGATGGTCTCTAAAGTCAGGTGGGATGTAATCAAGTTTATATTGTGGTTCTCGTAGAGGTGCTTCATTGTCTTTAGCTTCAAGTTGAACTTGCATATGAGCAATTGATGGTTGTATAGGATTATTTTATTTAATAACATGGAATTTATAGTCTGGAAGACCTGGGCTCATATTCCTACCTTCCCAAATTAGTTACATTACCCTAGGAATGTTTCTTATCTTCTGGTCTTCAGGCTCCTCATTTGTAAATGAGGATAACAATACTTTTTTAAGTTGTCTTTTTCTGACATGTAAGTGATTTATTAAATGCACACAGCTTAGCCTCAGGCCTTCAGAAAGAGAGCACCATGGATAAAAAAGAACTATAGGGATCCAAGTCCCTGGGGGGCTCAGAGAGAAATTATTAATGATTTTCACAACATTAAATTTTCTAGAGTTAGCAATGGAAAGAAAAGGGCAGAGGTTGTTCAGTGGTAGAATTCTTCCCCCTCATGCAGGAGACCCAGGGAGCTCTGGTGGTGTAGTCCCTAAGTCATTTGACTGGTAACCAGAGGACTGGCAGTTCAAACCCACCAGCCACGCCTTGGAAGGAAGAATGGGCAATGTACTTCAGTAGAAATACTGCCTCAGAAACCCAAGCAGGGGTTTCTATGAGTCAAATCGACTGTGAGACATTGGGTTTGGTTTTTGTTTTCTATTCAGGAGACCCAGTTTTCATTCCTGTCCAATGCAACTCATGCACAGCCACCATCTGTCCAATAATGGAGGCTTGCATGTTGTTATGATGCTGAACAGGTTTCAGGTGAGCTGCCAGATTAAGAAGGACTAGGATGAAAGAACTAGTGATCTACTTCTGGAAAATGGTCTGATCCCAAACCAATAATGAGGATGGCACAGGACTGGGCAGTTTTTCCTTCTTGTTGTAATTGAGGTAGGTGTCCATGAGTCACGGGATGATTCAATGACAGCTATCATCAACAACCTATGGAAATTCACCTTTCCATTCCCTCCATACTCTCCAAACTATCAACCTCAATCACAAAGATCATAGTAACTATCTGATGTGAAGTATGCACATGATCATTTATGTAAATTGCCTGGCATAGTGGTAGGCACAGAGAAACACAGCTGTATAGTGGAATATAACAGTGATGTAGGAAATTTGAGATGTTTTGGGTAGAGGTTATTCAGAGTCCTAAATTTTCTGGAAGTACTAATGCAAGTCAACTCCATCAACTAAAAAAGCATTCATTCTAGTGAAATCTTAGCATAACACTAAAATTTTAAATTATTTTTTCAATGCTGGAATGTGAATTTTTCTTTACTGTTCATACTTATCAAAATGTAAACAATGTACATTTTAATAGTCTACCGTTTCTAGAGCTGTTCATCTCCCCACCCCCACCCCCACCCCCCAGAAAAGAAAAAACTCCTTACTCACTCACTCACTGCCGTCGAGTCAAATCCTGCTCATAGTGACCCCTCCTTGGGTTTCCGAGGCAATATAACTATGGAAGTAGATTGCACCATCTTCCTGCTGATTAGTGGCTTTTTAGATGTTTATGGTCATAGATATAGATAAGAAAAATGTTCAAATGATTTTTACATGAAAAAATTTGTGAACACTTGTATAGCATGATCCCATCAGTTAAAGAAAGAAGATATCATATGGTAACATATAATTTTGTATCTATTTATATACATAAGTGCTTACATAAAAATAAAAAGTTATCTTGAAAGATAGAGAAGAAAGTGTCACTCCTGGGAAGTGGGTAGAGAGAGTAATGCTGCATTTGCTTATAATGTTTTTGTTCTAATTTTACAATAAGTAGGCATTCATTTTGTAGTAATTTCTCAAACATCTACTTACTAACTCACTTTCTATATTTTAAGCAAAACTCTAACCACAAAAAGGGTTCAAATCATTAGGAGAAATTTCATATTTTAATCTCTTAATACTTCTTTAGAATTTCATTTGCAGGAAGGCTCTACAAGGAGTTTTTCAAGGATGAAGCATAGGAGCATGCTTCAATCTTTTTGGCAAAACAATGTTGCGAACAATTTGGTGAAATGGTATAAATAACATGACTAAAGAGAGACTTCACAAACTTCAAAATCTCCTGGAGTTTGGTACTGATCCCTTCAAGTCTTTGTAACTGGCGTGGCCTCCTTTACTCCTGCTGTCCTGACATAGTCACTAATAGAGCCCCTGCCAATCCCAGGAGTATTCCTGTTTACATGGTAAAGTATAAGGTTGCCCTAACTGTGATTCTGAAAAGTGTATTATTGTTCAGGAAGAATCATACCATTGGGGACTTGGCATTTATTTTTCTCTAACCTTGTCCAACGGCCTTTCCTGACTGGCCCTCAATTTGGTGTTTCTCCTCTAGAGACCAGAGGCCCTCTCTGTTGAAGTTGCAGAAGAGTGAAGGAGTCAGTTAACTGTTTTGCAGCCAATTGA